ACATGAGTCATAGCTGCATTTACATCTAAGAAACAAGAATGGAACAACTCCATACAAAGCAAGAGAACAGGGGAAGCCAGTCCCCCACCCTGCTCCCTATATTCATAGCATATTTGAAATGGAAGAGACATAGAAAATTAATCATAAGATCTCAAACTACTGGGGGGTGATAATTCTAGAGAAAGGGACGACAGGTGTTTTCACACATCAGAAGTGTACGGCTTCTTCCATTCTTGCTGAGTAAGGTAAATGCACTTCCTTGGCCCAAATAATTATTTGCATCCCCAATTCCTCACACACTCTTTTCCCCCTTTCTACACCAGATTTAAAAGGTCCACATGTTTACATAAATGGCACAGGAGAAGTTCAGCGGGACATTTGAGATAGCATGTGTGAAAACGCCCTTTTCCTTCTTGCCCCTACAGGCACCGTAAAGAACCTACCACGTTCCCTGGCCCAAATAAAATGATCCCGACGTTCTCTACCCAAAACCATCCTAAGCAGCTGCCAATCAGAGCATGCAATACTGGGTTAGTAAGATCAACAGTCTGACTTGGAATAAGGCAGCTTGATATGTTCAAAACGCCTAGAAGCTTCACAATGATGGCAAATAAATAAATAAATAAATAAATTAAAAAAAATGGCCATGCCTCTTTGTTTTAAATGAATCAAAAGAGATCCAGGAAGCACAGCATTAGGGAATACCAAGCAAAGCAGTACACAAGATCATTCAAAGGCTTATGTTATTGCCCCATGTCCTGAATTGGGCATAAAACAAGGTACCATTTTTATAAAGGAAAAATGATAAACTGCGCTTTAGGGCTGTGAATAACAAACAATTTTTTCTCTCTCTCTTTTTGGAAGCTAGTTCAACCAAAGTTAGTCGGACTTCTGAGTAAAGTACAAACATGACTGGCTAGTGAGTATAAGGGGGAAGAACCCGGAAGGAATATTTTGCTCTCACATCTTAGGAAGAAGTTGCTTTTTTAAAAAATATGAAGATTTTGTACTATTACTACAACTATGCTAATAATTATATTACTGAGCATTTTCAGCTTTGATCAACAGACTCTTAAAAGACCCTACAAAGTGCTTTTAACACTATTACCCCTAATTTACAGGCAGAAGCACTGTGGCACAAGTGAGGCTAATGAGCTGCTCGTCTCTTCCATAGGACCTCAGACACTGAGCAGAACAAGGAAAGAGAGTAGGTGTTTCCGAGCACACCTTTTCCAACTTCAAAATGGCTTCGTTCAGCTCTCTTTCTAACATCTACCATGGAATGGGTGGCGCATATACTTGGGACAGAAAACACACTTTGATAAGAAATGAAGATGTTTTTCGGCAAAACAGCAGATGATGTATTGCTTCGAATTATTACAACAGGTGGTCGGAAGCCACGGTATTAATCACATCCAGCCTAAGGGTGCATTTGAATAAATACAGAAGAATGTTGTCATTGATATCATGGCCCCACATCAAAGCTTCTGCTCAGCTTATCTGTTCCACCTTTGCTAACTGGACACAACATTAAAGAACGGAAAGGTTTTCTGTGAATGGCCTGGATAAAAAAGGTGATGGATCCACCTACATTACAAACTTATATTAATGTCTTATCAACTGAACTGTTGCAGCTTTCCCTGTTACAGCCTTTAACCATGCTCAGGGCTACACCTGCTTGAAAAGTAGGAATTAAGGAGGAATTACTCTTAGACCAGCTGTAATGTAGACACATTCTAAGGGTAATCCCTTCTCCCAGGTCACTACTACACTTCAGCTTTGTTATCGTCGCTGACCAGGATTCAAAGAACTACAATTCCTTCTGCACACGCAGTGATACTTGGAAGCTTTCTTTTTTAATTATCGGTTTAATCCTACCGGCGGCTCAGCCAACAAGTCTTAAAATCGTGTCTGGAAGAATGGGTCTCAGTTTCGGAGCCATTCAATATAAATATGGACGAGGAGAGAAAAAAAGCTATTAGCTATGTATAGTAACTGCAGATCTGGACGGGACCCTATGGGTCCCTGAGTTTGGCCCCCGGCAAGGAGGTCCAGTGGGGAATTGAACTTCCGACCTCTGGCTCCTTAGCCAGCCAGAGACCTACCATCCCAAATTCTGGCTCCACAGCTAACCACTGAGCTATCCAGCAGTATAAAGAGTGTAGGTTTTCCTAAAGCAGTTATTTGCATCCTGGTCTGGATACAGCCACAGCTTGCAAATTTTAAGGTGCCCCACTCCTTCTGTTCACCCACTCACGCAGCCATCACCTGTTTGCTTTCACTCGTCTGGTGTAACAGCGCTGTGCAACACACTTAGTGCCCAACCAAGCCAAAAACAACCAATCTGCTAGTCACTCTTCGTGGCCCAGTCAAGACCTTTGACTGGCTTACTCATTTCTGCAGTCTCAGGCCAGTTGGAAGAAAAGGAATGTAACAGATCTTCTGGAAATTGTACATCTTTATCCTACCTTTCCCCCAAGGGTCCTCCTCTGCCAACCGGACCCTGCGCTATTCCCACAAACCTGAAAATGGGGTGGCTGAGAGCAGGTGACTCTTTCAAGGGCACCAAGTGAGTTCTGTGGCAGAGTTGGGATACTGATTAAGGATGCTTGCTGAGTTAATCTGCTGTGAATTCTTTAAGGTCATGGCCGGATCTTGATTCTTCAGGATAAAGTGCTGATTTTTTTTTAAAGGAAGTAGATGAACTGGTAAAAACATGTGACTGAACACAGGTCTGTCCATCTTTTCTTTGAATATGGCCTTCTCTCGTCCTTAATCTGCCACCCCAACCACAGAATCACATTGTCTCAATGGGGCTGAAGATCTGCATTCGGTTTGGCAGTCCCAAGCTACATAGGCTGAGATGAGCAGGATAGAAACTGGATGTTTTTTGCCATCCCAGAGCCCAGTCCTTTCACAAAACCAACCCAAAATTTCCCGTGTCCACCCATACACAGACCTCGCCAACCTGGGTCAACTGAAGCATTATGGGATGGGCAGTGTGTGAGTGTAACAGCATTACATGAAGGAGAAAACAGATCCACCCAGGCCCATGATTCAAGGAAGAGAAAGTGCTTTTACAGCTGGATGGGTGGGTTGGTGGGGTGGACTTATTGATTCTAAGACGGAAAGATGCAAAAACTGAAACAAAACAGAGTAGGGCAAGACTGACAACCCAGGTACATGCTTAAGAATCAGTCGCGAAAGGAAGTCAGAAATGAGGGTTAAGATGCCTACAGACAGTGCCAGACAAGCAGATGGCATTTTGTTTCACTACTTGCTACACAAAATAAATTCTGTACTTAGTAATGCAAGATATAAAGCTGGGTTGTGAAGGTCCTTTCTCCCTGCGTTGCTGTGTGTTTGCCTCTTGGTTCACAAGGAGGCCTGTTTTATCTCTGCAGCAGAAGGGTGTGCTAGAAAATCCAGAAGGGGCTGTACCATTTCAGACTCCAGGTCCTGGGGGAGAAAATGCCCTTCAAAATTCTTTCGTGGGTTTTTTAAAAAAATTAAAACTAAAATCTCCTTGCAGGTTTTATGCATTTTTTAAAAAATAAAAATAAAAATAAAGAAACACATGATTGGGGGAAAGATTCTAGCCTAGCCATTTCCTGCAGCAAAACTTGGAAGTAATGAGTTGCATGCAATGTAGTCCACCTGTAACTAGTTACTATTTCAATAAGGAGTAACATAACAAAGAATTACAAAAGTTCTGTAAAAATTAACGTAGCAAAGAATCACAAAGTAACTTTTTAGGTTCAATAAGCAACTTTGCTGGTTGCCATCAAAAGTCATTTTTAAAAGGGCATTTTAAGGCATTTTAGAGGGATTTTGACTGGAATTTTCATTATGTCATTGTCTTATTAAGCCTAGCAAGGGAAATATTCTTTGGTTTCACCATTCAAATTGTGTGTGTTTTTTTTTTAAAAAAATGCAGAGTGCAGTATCAGAATTGGCCACTAGGGGGGATTTATGTCCCTGAATTTCTCAGGCCAGTGACCAAGCTCAGTGGAGTTCATTAACAATTACTCACATGACTGAAGCAATGCAAACAATGACCTGCCTGTAATAAGTAACACGAGTTCCTTTAGAAACACAATCTTCCAAGATTTGCCCTGCAGTAGGCTAATGTTCTACTTGCAATTAATGTACGGTCATATACAAAGACACGATCCTAGAAACTGTAGCCTGAGAGGTACAGCCCATTCTACCACCACTTTGGGTAAAAGCCAGTTTATTTTGCTGCAGTTACATAGCACACCCTGTTTGGTGTCTGGTCAGGAGCAAAAGAGACAGGAAGCAACAAAAGGCACCGCAGAACTGTGCCTAGTAACAATTGCACATACAAAGTTTAAACAACTTCTCCTCACTTCAGCAGAGATCATGAGAACAGAGGCACTGATGCAGTGAGGTTTTTATAGTCCCCGATTTTTTTTTACAGCATACTACAGTACAGAAAACTAGTATATCATGATTAGCATCTTAGAATTAGCCAGTCTAAACCTACAGTTTGCCAGAAAGTACAACAGGGGGGTGCAGACACCTGGCATTTTTAAATAAGCTGCCATCATCTTTTCTAGTCTGAAAAGAAAAACGAAAGTCACCCAGCCTTTTTATTTTTAATGTCAACTCGGAAGGCTGCCAAGGGCTGCGCAAAAACACAACACATACTCTAATGCTAGGTCTTCATTTGACAGGTAAGAAGGTAAACTCTGATTCGTATTTTCACTCCCAATATCCAGATGTCAAAAAGAGGCGACGGTTGAAACAAGGAGGGGGTTCATGCTGGTTAAGTTTCCCATCATGAGTTTGGAACACTTTAATAAAATTCACAGATCCGTCGGGTCACAAAGCTCAGCTTGAAATCTTTGTTACTTAAAATGCATCTTATGGTCTCCCAACCTGCTCTGTGAACCAGAGTCACTTATTTCCCCACCCACCCACCACGGTTTTCTACCTAAAATGAACACCACACTTTATAAATATACATTGTTTCCTGCATCTATATTTTTTTCTTTAAAAAAAAAAACCCACTCTATGTATAATTTTGAAACCAAGTTGTAAATTGATATTCTCCCCCCCGCTTTCAAAGACATGTCAAACTTAAGCTATGTTGGAGAGAAGGTTTCAGCCATGCCCAAGTTTTACAAAAGACGATCGCTTTGAAGGTTTTTCTCCTTCCGCCTTATAACTCCATGCTACCATTTATTTCATTGCCTGTCACTTTGCAGGAAAGTTAAGTAAAGCTAATCTGAATATAACCTGGGATTCCTCCCCCCCCCACACCTTGCATCCACTCTCTAAACCAAGATGTTTCCAGTCCTCATGGATTGCACTACAACTGAAGATAAATGTAGGCTAATGCCAATCTCTCTGTGGCAAAAAATCAAAGGCATGATGCTGGATTTTCTTCTGGTAAATATCACACAAGAATCATGTGCACAAGGTGCACTATTAATTGCTTACTAGGCACATTCCCTCAGCACCACCACCACCACCACCTTGCTGATACCCAGACTGAAGCCCACACCTTCGAACAGAAGAGCTACACACACCTGTGCTTCAGGGTCTTCCATCACGGGTTTCTGCCGGATCACAAGATCATTCCTCTCCTTTCCCCTTCCCCCACTTTCCCCTTGTCCCTTCTCTGGCTGGTGCTCCTCTAGAGCAAGGTCGCATGCCCGCTGGAGTCATCATGGTCCACGCTGTTGAGAATGGCTGTCTGGTCTTCAGGGACCTGCCGGTGGCAGAGGTCATCCTTCAGTGCGGAGAGGCGGGCAAAGGGGTCCTGGCGAGGGTGCCTTTTTTTCTTCCGGAGACAGACAGCTTCGTCGGGCCACAGTACCTGAGAGTTAGGGTGTTGCTGAACCTGGGAGGCAGAACCATCTGAAAAGGAAGAGGAAAAACAATGGTGGAAGAGCGGGGTTATTCATGTGTACGGGTACGACAAGAGGACACAAGGCACTAAAACAATAGTTGCGATGCAACCAAGGCACAGGTATTCAGATTTAGCATACGAGAAGTCAGAATGATTTGTAGGGAAAGAAAGCAATGCCTGGAACAAAACAATAATAATTAAAAAATGGAAGGTTTTTCTATGTGGAGAAGAGAGCATGGAGGAAAATGGAAATCGTGGGAGAATGGGAATAATAAGGCAATCTTTCATCTAAAGAGAGACATAATCAAGAGGAAAAATAACAGGAGGAGGGGGAGGAGTTAGGAGAGATTATAGGGGAGCTGGGGTAGAAGGGAGGAAGACGTAAGAGAGACATAAGGGGTCTGCGCCTTAAAATAGGTGGGAAGATTTGGCAAAATTCCATGGGGAAAGGATGGGAGATACCAGCTCAGGGGCAGCACAGTCTGGGGCCTGGATGGCTACAAGCTACCTTTGGACTGAGAGTTGGGAGCCAAACGCCACAAGGGTTGGGGAAACCTAGCAGATCAATCTTTCAATCCTGAAGTTCCAGAGAAGAGGACAGGATCCCCGTGAGACCTCGGAGGCAAAGGTCAAACATCAGGACCACGTGTGTCCTATCGCTTCTGGGCCCAGAGACAAAGTCAATTCCCATTGCAAGTCGTTGACTTCCATGAGGATTGTGCCGGGCCCCGCGACATGTGGCGGTGGGGGAAAGGCAAGGGGAGATTAGCCAGGTTTAGTTCTCGTGTTCCTCGCACTCACTGATTTGTTTTTTTGATTTCGAGGAGCCCTTGGATGACTTTTTGGGCTTCTTTATCCGCTGGTATTTCAGAGCTTCGAGTCTCTCAGGTGCAGCAGCGCTCCGGGTTGGAGACGGACGTTTTCTAGAAAGACAAAGCAGACAAGCGCCATCAGTGGCTCCCTGCCGTATTCTGTCTCAACGGAGCGCTCTCTCTACTGGGGAAAAGAGAGTGTTCCACCTCCACCAGGTCCACCATGGAGAAGAAGGAAAACAGGAGAAGAGGTCCTGAGGATGGTGGATTCAAAAGGTGCTGGAGGTGAAGCCATGTTCTCACCTCTTCGGTGCTCCGTCTCCATGCCCCAGCCCCACCCACCATGGTAACCCAGCCCAATCCTGCCCTCTCTCTTTTTTTCTCTGAGGATTTTCATTTTTTTATTTTTTTTTTCAAATACACCCTGCGATCCACACGCTGCTCAGGTCGAACCAGGCAAAGGTTACAGAAAGACATTAAGGACTCCAAACCCTGACCGTTCCTGTGAACAGAATCAAACTGTTGAAAACAACTGGAGGGAGGGAAGTAAAATAAAATACGCACGGAGGCCCTTGGACTGATACTGTCAGCAAACTTTCTTTAAAAAAACACACAACAGAATAATTAAAAGTAGTGATTTCTGTGACTATTAAGGCACTTTTGGGAATGGAAAGGGAAGGAGAAACATTCCAAAAGGCGCATCCAGATGTTCACAGTGACAGCAGCAATTACTACGACTGGCAACAAGGGACGCGCCCTGACTTCACAGGACAAAACAGAAGGACTCAAGGAAAACATGGTAGGGTTGAGCAGATTGCAATGAGGACCCGTTTGCTCCAAACCATTTCCTCCATGTTTACATAGGTTCCAAAGGGTTGACCTACAGGTTCGAAACATTCGTCACAAATGCATTTGACCAAAGCATACAGTTCTAAAGGAGAATCTTGCAAACTGTCTTGAAAGGCAGAATCAAAACTAGGAAGACGTTCTAGCCTATAAATGACTTTCTCTCATGCAGCACAACTACGATCTTTTATTGCATCATGACTCACGTTAATTTCAGACAAATACAGCTTGCGGTCTAGGTCAATGTTTCCCAATCTTGAGTCCTCAGATGTTCTTGGACTACAACTCCCGGAAATCCTGGCTGCCACAGCTAGTGGTGAAGGTTTCTGGGAGTTGTACTCTAGGAAGATCTGGGGACCCACTTTGCTGTAGGACAGGGGTGGGGGGTGTGTAGCCCAACATCTTGAGATGCTGATGGACTTGAAGAGAAGTCCAACATCTTGAGAGCTACATGATTCTTATTCCCTTTACAAGAAGCAATAACATGCAGTGGCTGGAATCCTGCTGCTTCGCATAATAATTTGCACTAGAGCAGCCCCACCAAATCAGTGGGGGTTCAGTGGGCCACCTCCTGAATTGATTCAATTTGGCTTACTTTAGCTGCAACCTACCATAATAAAGTCAGTCACAACTAGAGAAAGCCCATTTGAATCACTAGAATTCATGGAGGACTTGACTTACCAAGTCCTCACTGATTCAACGGGCCTCCTCTAGCCGGACTCGCTATGTTAGGCAACAGATTTCAGTGTGCAGCACATTTGGCTGAAAACCACAGTTTTACAGCATAAAACGTGCTTCCTTCAAGCATCTACCAAAGCAGATGTCAGGCTTGCTCTGCATGTTTCCTGTATCCAGAGGTTACAATTCTGGCTTCCTGGAAGTGGGCTTGCTCCCTAATGTGCATGGATGGAACCTGTGGCCAATGGATCCTATGCAGCTTTAGGGTGACCTTCTGACTGAAGAATATTATCTAACCTTCCTTCTAAAATATGATTAAAGAATCATCAAGCAGAAAGAGGTATTTATTGAACCTAACACTTTTAGTATAAAGACTATGAAGGACACCTCTCAATACCTATTAGCAAGGAGAATAATAACATGCTATTTCCCTTGCTTTTCATGTCATGGATTCTCAAACAGTCCCCCAAAGGTCCTTTTCCTGCTCTCCTACAGTGGGCATGAAACCTCTTGGCCAGTATCCTCTGCCCATGTGTACAATAACTGCACCTCTGGCAGTCTCTTTTCTTTTGCTCGCACAAGGCAGAACGTACAACTCTCTTTGTACAAGCGGGACTCCCTGTCTGTTGAACACAGAAATCTCTGCTCTGGATTTTTCTACCGACTGTAGCTTGTGGCCCAAGTGGAGGGAAAAAGTCAGAAAGACAGTTGCAACTGCAAGGCGGCCAATTATTTTATGCAAATAGAGAAACAGATAGAAAGTAAGCCAGCACATTGACAAAAATATACAGTTTGTTAGAGTAAGCAAAATAACAATGTGCTTTGCTCAGATTCCCCAAATCCCTATATGGTTTAAATTACACTAGTCCATCTATGAGGTCAGGAACCGGTCTTCTCCAATAAAAAACAAAAGTGACTCCCAGGTGAAAACATTAAAAACTGAATATTCAGCTCAAGGCCTATGCAATGAGATAAGAAGTGTCCAGAGGTCTCCAAAATTTGTCTAATAGTCTCTTTAAAAAAAAAACCCAACTCACATTCCCTAGGTGTTTCCTATGTTAAGTTTTTTTAATCTACAGGGGGGCATAAATTCTGGCCAAAATGCCTCAAGGAGGCCCCTAACTTCATTTTGTTTTCTACCTTTGCTTAACAGTCTGAGAGTGTGAAACGTATATTGAGTTATAACGATATTATAATGTAGGGAAACAATATTTGCCATTACAATCTCTAGCTTATATAACTGCTGTTGCAGAGCTGTTACATTCCACCTTTGCAACCAGGATGCTCAACTTTGAGTTTTAAAACTACTTTTTGTAAAGACATAGATTACATAGAATCATGGAATCACGAAGCTGGAAGGGGCCTATAATTCAGTCCAACCTCCTGCTCAGTATAGGAATGATATCTGCCAGTTCGTTGTCTAAATTTCTCTTGAATGCCTACAGTGTTGGAGCACTCACTACCTCTCAAGGTAGGTACAGTGGGACCTAGACTTACGAATGTCCCTTCCTACGAACGATTCGACCTAAGAATGGCTCCGTTCGCAAAAATCTACTTTGACTTGCGAACGGAGCCTTGACCTACGAACGAAAAAAGGGCAGGGGAAAAGGGTGGGAAATTCAAATTTCCCCTGTCTTTTTTTCGTTCCATTCCCGCCACAGTGATCAGAGACAGCGGTCACCCAGCACTGGGAGGCTTGAGCTGGCCGGGCGCTTGGCCGCTCGCCCCCGGCCACAGTGGAGGCAGTGGAGCACCCAGAGGCTTTGGACTGGTAAGACCTTTTTAAAAAACTGTTCTGGGTCGGTTTTGGAGGGTGGGTTTGGACTGGGGGTGGGGTATGTTGTTGTTTTTTGCAGTCCCAATGTGGGACTTGTTTTTATTTTTATTTTTTTAATTTTTTGCAGTCCCAATGTGGGACTTGCTCTGTTTATTTTTATGATGTTTTTTTTTTAAATGCTGGAACAGATTAATATGGTTTGTTTTTTCTTTGTTTGTTTGTTTGAAATGCTGGAACAGATTAATCCCGTCCCCATGCATTTCAATGGGAAATGGTGCTTCGACTTAAGAATGCAGTCCCAATACAGATTAAGTTCTTAAATCGAGGTGCCACTGCAATTGGTTCCATTGTTGTACTATTCTAGCAGCTAGGAATTTCCTCCTGACATTCAACCAAAAACTGGCTTCCTCTAACTTGAGTCCATAATTGTGTGTCCTGAACTCTGGGTTGACTGATAACAGATCCTGCCCCTCTTCTGTATCACAGCCTCAAGTCTTATTTTCTCAAGGCTAAACATGCCCAGTTCTTTCAGTCTTTTCTCATAAGCCTTGGTTTCGAGCCCCCTTATCATCCTTGTTGTCCTCCTCTGAACTAGTTCCAATTTGTTGGCATCTTTCTTGAAGTGTGGTGTCCAGAACTACTATTACAATGAATAGTTAGTTCATTGAGAAAGGCCTGCTTAGAACATCAGATACTCAGTTCCTTGAGTTGGGATGACAAAAGTTAGTAAGAACAACTCAACAACTATCCAAGACCAATACTGCACAACCATCTCAGCCTTCATAAAAGAAACAGAGGATCCTTTCCAATTTTTTTAAAAAGAGGGTCCTTTAAAATCTCCTCCAAATACCAAGCCAAAGCCCATTTTGCATAATTTTGGAAGCACATCATGGCAGACCTCCCGCCCTGCAAAAGATGATGGTTGAAGCTGGGCAAGGAAGGGCTGGAGCAAGAGAACTTCATGCCCAACCACCAAAAAGATGATGTGAGTTAATTGCACCTGATATTTTTAGGATATGATGTAGTCAGATGTCTCAAATCTTCTCCCAAATGTGGTAAATATATGTCATGTACTCAATAGGTTTTACAGTGCATCTTTTCTATCACCCTACAAATACGAAACACCTCCCTCCAACTCCCCAGCACCTGGGCTATTTTCTTTGAGAAAGCAATCCTACACACGCAACCACACATGCAAAGATAAATGAGGCACTATTAATTTCATAAAACAAATGTCTTTGGATAAAGGAACTATGATATATCTCCCCTGATCTTCCATCATGCCCATGAAGACTTTGCTCTAATTAAAAGAGACTCTTCATGTTACGGACTCCTAATTACAAAATTCTTGCAATGGCAGGTTGGAGGGTGGGCATTTTTTTCAGTTTGATATTTCCAGAGATATGTGAAGATCTCCAAGCCAGATGTTTTCCTTCCATTATTTTTCTTCGTGCAAATACAAATTTTAAAAAATGTATGTACTTCTCAACCATACATACTGTCATGTTTTGGCAGAATGTCCTTGGTGCCATACATCAAGCTCAAAAATAAATGCCGAACCCAGATTCTGTAGAACTGGGGTTCCGAACTACTCAGGACATCTACATTTCCCCCAGTTCTGAAACATCAAGTTCATCATTACTCACCAAAGTCAACAGCAAGAGAATAGATTGCTATATATTGCTCAACTAGAACACGAGAAGGCTAATATGATGTTTTGCAGTATTTGTGGCTCCTTGTCCAATGCCTCCAGATGTAGCAACAGAAAAGACCTTGGAAAAAGGCATGATTTGTCCATTCTTTCTGGGAA